AGAATGGTAGAAAACATTCATAAAAACATATATATGATGAACGACTTATACCCAAATAACTACTACAATTCAATAATAAAAAGACAAACAACCCAATTTAAAAATGGACAAAAGACTTAAATAGTCACTTTCCAAAAAAATATACAACTAGCCAATAAACATGTTTAAAGATGCAAGGGGAAATGAGTAAAGGTGGTCAAAAGGAACAAACTTCCAGTTATAAGATAAATAAGTTCTGGGGGTGTAATATACAGTATGATGACAATAGTTAACAATACTATATTGTATATTTGAAAGTTGTTAAGAGTACATCTTAGTAGTTCTCATCACAAGAAGAAAATCTATAACTATGTGAGGTGATGTATTTCAACTAAACTTACTGTGGTGATCATTTCACAATATATGCACAGTAGTTCCCCTTTATCCTCATTTTCAATTTCCACAGTTTCAGTTGCCCATGGTCAACCATGGTCTGAAAATATTAAATGAAAAATTCCAGAAATAAATAATTCATAAGTTTTAAATTACACACAGTTCTGAGTAACATGATGAAATTTTGCACCATCCTTCTCTATCCTGCCCAGGAAGTGAATCATCCCTTTGTCCAGTGTATCTGTGCTGTACATACAGTATAATAAGATATTTTGAGTGAGACAGAGAGAAAGAGACCACATTCACATAATCTTTATTACAGTATATTGTTTTATTGTTCTATTTTATTAGTTATTATTGTTAATATCTTACTGTACATAATTTGTAAGTTAAACTTTATCATATATATGATATATCTCTCCAACATAGATAGATTGTTAGATAGATAGATAGATAGATAGATAGATAGATAGATAATGTGATATATATGGGGAAAAAAACATAATATAATACAGTTTGGTACTATTTGCAGTTTCAGGCACCCAATGGGGGTCCTGGAATGTATTCCCAGCAGATAAGGGAGGGAGGACTACTGTATATATCAAAAATCATTATGTTATACACCTAAAACTAATACAATGTTATGTTAATTATATCTCAATAAAACTTAAAAAAAAAAAGAAAAAACTAAATGGAAATATGTTTTTTTAAATGGTAAAAATAAAAAAACAAAGATGGTCTTCATCATTAGTCATCAGGGAAAGGCAATTTAAACAACAGTGAGAAACAACTACCTATCACTGAAGTGGCTAAAAACAAAAAGATTAAAAACTCTGTTGGGAAGGTTGTGGAGCAACTAGAACTCTCATACATTGTTAGTAGAAGATACTACTACCATATGACCCAGAAGTTTTACTCTTAGGTATTTACCTAAGAGAAGTGAAAATATATGTTCACAAAAAGACTTTATAAGAAAGGATAGGAGCTTTACTCAAAATAGCCAAAAACTGTAAATAATTCTAAATAAAAGAAAAAGAGAAAATTTTCTGGAGTGATGGAAATGTACTATACCTTGATAGGAGTATGAGTAACACACATGTATGCGTTTGTCAAAACTTATCAAATTGAACACTTAAGAATTTTACATTTACTCTATGTAATTATTACACTAATATTGAATTCTAGCTAGTAATTTTGGTTTTTGCAGCAGTATGTGTTAGCAATTCTAAAAATACAACCTGTGCATGCTAGGCTCAAGCAAAATGAGTAAATAAATTTAATAAAATGCAGCTGTCTCACTGTTGGAGAAGGTAGTTATATATATATATACATAAATATAGAAATATAAATGTGTCTATGTGTATATACACACACATATAGTTTCACATCAGCAATAATTATCACATCTAGTGCCCAGATCTTGATTTCTAGATCCCATTTTCCACTGTGAAGAAGCTGGGCTGCTTGGAGTAAAGGCTGATTTCAGGACAAAGAAAGTACAAAATGAGCTAGAACAACTTCTTGTGCATGAGAATAAGGAAGTATTCAGAATAATGGTATCCTGCTTAATGGCAAAAGACTGAAAGATTCTGTCCTCACCGCTTCTATTCAAAATTGTACTGGAGGTTTTAGCCAGGGTGATTAGGCAAGAAATATAAATAAAAGGCATACAGATTAGAAAGGAAGAAGCAAAATTATTTGCAGATGTCATGACCTTGAATACAGAAAATTCTAAGGAATCCACAAATAAACTATCAAGGCTAATAAACGGATTCAGCAAGGTTGTAGGATACAAAATAAAATATAAATTTTATAAATATAAATTATTTATATATAAATATTAATAGATAAAATCAACTATTTATATATACTAGCAATGAATAATTCATAAATGAATTTGAGGAAACAATTTCATTTACAATAGCATCAAAAAGAATAAAATACTGAGGAATAAATTCAACTAGAGAAGTACAAGATTTAGATACTAAACTACAAAACATTGTTGAAAAAAATAAATGGAAGAAGACCTAAATAAATGAAAAGATATCCCATCGATTGGAAAACAATATTGCTAAACGACAACACTCCTCACATCAATTTACAGATTCAGTGCAATCCTTATCAGAAACCCAGGTGCCTTTTTAATTTTTTTTGCAAGAATTGACAAGCTAATCTTAAAATTCATATGAAAGTGCAAAATAGCCAAAACAACCTTGAAAAAGAAGAATAAAGTTGGAGGACTCGAAACTCCCAATTTTTAAACTTTCTACAGAGATACAGTAATCCAAACTGTGATACTGGCATAAGAACAGACATAAAGATCAACTGATTTTGAATTGAAAAAAATCAAATGATTGTCAATACAATTCAATGAGGAAAAAATAGTCTTTCTGTACTATTTAGTCTTTCTGTACTATTTAGTCTTTCTGTACTATTTAGTCTTTCTGTAAAATAAAGTTGGACTCCTTCTTTACACCATACACAAAAATAAACTCAATGTGGATCAAAGACCTAGCTAAAATACAAACTCTTAGGGAAAAAAAAATAGTTGTAAATCTTAGCGACCTAGGATTTGGCAATAATTTTTTAAATGTGACACCAAAAGCACAAGCAACCAAAGGAAAAAATAGATAAATTAAACTTCGTCGGTATTAAAAAATTTTGTGCTTCAGAAAACACAACCAATAAAGTAAAGAAACAAACTACAAAATGAAGAAAGTATTTGTAAATCATATACCCTATAAGTCTCTAGTATTCAGAAAATATAAACTCTTACAACTAAACAATAAAAAGAAAACAAATGGGCTTGAATAGAAACAAGAGATCTGAATTGATATTTTTCCAAAAACATTCAAATGGCCAATGAGTACATCTGTTCAACACAGTCATTAGAAAAACACAAACCAATGTCAAACATAGACTTACCATATGATGTCACAATTCCACTCTTAGATATATACCTAGGAGAAATGAAAACATATGTTCACATAAAAGCTTGCACACAAATGTTCAGAGCAGCATTAACATAATAGCTAAAAAATGGAAACAACCCAAATGTCCATTACCTGATGAGAGGATAAACAAAATGTGGTATATCTATACAATGGAATATTATTCAGCCTAAAAAGAACTGATTCAGGCTACAACATGAATAAACCTTGAAATCATTATACTAAATGAAAGAAGGCAACACATTACCTGATTTCACTTATATGAAATGTCCAAAATAGGCAACTGCATAGACATGGAGGGTAAATTAGTGTTTTCCACAGAGCTGGAGGGAGGAGGTAATGGAGAGTACGTGCTAATGGGTATGGGGTTTACTTTGGAGATGATAAAGTTCTGGAATTATATAGTGGGAAAGATGATAGTGACACAAATTCATGAATATACTAAAGACCACTGTATTGTATACTTTCAAAAGGTTAATTTTATGGTATGTGAATTAGATATCAAAAAAAGAAGGGGGATCTCCTGCACCCCCAAATCCTACTCTTCTTTCCTGGAGGCAACTGTTACTTGTTCCTTGGGTACCGTTCCTAAAGTGGACTATATACATACAAACATGTATTTGTGCATCTATACTAATTCAGGCTACAAAATGAATGTTAAAGACAGAAATATGAGTATAGCAGATACATTGTCCTAGACTTTTTTTTCCCTCTTTACAATATAACTTCAAGATCATTCCACTTTACAATATAATTTGGCGATTGTTGTATTTCAGCGTAAGTATCCCTCATTCCTTTTTATTTTTGGACATGAAATAATTTAGTTTGCCAGTATTCTGCTGCTACAAATAACATTGCGATTAATTTCTTTGCATATATTTCCATTACTGCATATAAGTGGGACATGTTTCTAGAAGTAAAATTCTAGTTGAAAATATACTTTTCTCATTTTATTTCAATAGACTACCATTAATTTAATGTAGCCTTTTCATACTAGATTATGAGTTCCCTGGGGACAGGAACCATTTCCCTTTTGTTGGCCAAGGTAATCTAGGTTCTAGCACATTGCCTGACATACTGCTTTATATATTCGTAGATAGACAAGGCTGTGTGCTTTAATGTACAATGTATCAAAAGGATATCTGAAGTTACATCATACAAAGAACAGACACTGATCCATCCAGTTTATAGAGATAGGAATTGTTTGGGGGTTGGTATTTTGCTTGTTTTGTTTTTTTTCTTTTTATCCAATTTTTTTCATTTTTTCCTTTTCAACTCTTGTATGTTTTCAAAAATTGTGGGATCGACTGCAATGTACCATTTTAAGAAATACAGAATCCTTAATTTCATCTGACGACAATAGCATGTTTTATTAAATATATGCCTACTTTTTATATTTGAGTATCTTTTACTTCAGTTATTGAAAAAAAAAAGGGAGAGTGGGGGTTTATTTCCAATTTTAAGAGACCTAATAGCGACACCTGCTGGAGAAAATGTCAGAATAAGTTCTGAATCCATTAAAACTTTTAACATTTTAGATGTTTATTTCTATTAATCAGGAAGAAATTTGATATTTTACCATAGAAGTGCTTGTAATAATTAAATACAATTAAGTTTACAGGAGGTTCTTTGATGTTCTACAAAATTATGGATAAGAAATATATGTTTTTTCTTCAGGATAAAGTCATTTTGGGAATGGACTACCCCTTTCCACTAGGTGAGCTGGAACCTGGAAAATTGATAGAATCCATAGAAGAATTTGATGCAGAAACAAAGGTATATGCCTTTTACTTCATGGTCTTCTTTCTTAGTTTTCCTGCTCTAATTAAGTTTGGTTTCAGAGCACTTTGATACATAACAAAGAATAGAAATATTATACTTAATATTCCTAGAATTGTTACTAGATCTCTAGAAATAGCTGAATATTAAGGAGAAAAAAAGTTAAAAAGCTTAAAGTCAACCTAATACAACTAAATTCATGAACCCAAGAAAGAAAACTATAAAGATGCATATCATAATAATATATTTGTTTTCATGTTAGATGAATAAAAAAAGTCTAATTTTTTCCCTTTAATATTTGCTGCAAATCTACCATTCTCAAAAATTGTAATGATTCTAGTAATTTGAATATTGAGACTAAATTCTTGATTAACAAGAACCCAAGAAACCAGAACCCTCATGTAACTGGAATTTTTTTCTTTTGACATTTGACTTTTAGGGTGGGTAAAGTGTGCCATCATGCTGCCACTGCCTATTCTACTCCAAAGGCTCCTGAACCAAGATGAGTTAAAATGAGATGCATTGTCTTCAGATTCCCTTTCCTTTGCTCCCTTTCCCATCTCACCCCCGTGTCTCAACAAAACAAGTTCTTCCTGAGAACTTTACCACCAGTCACTACCAGGCGCCGAGGATGGCCAAAAATAAAAACGTGAATATATAAACTCTTAACAAATTTAACAAAAGTCTTAGTCATAATTCTTTTGCATAATTCTTGCTTTCTTCTAAACTAGAATCCAAAAGTTCTCTTGCACTCTAATTCTCTGCTTTAATCATTAAAGATATAGCCCATCGAATCTTCTCAGCAAGCTTGAAGCACATCAACAGATTGCCAAGAAGAGTCCCTTCTGATGTTTACTAGTTGCAAGTTATTAACTGGGAAACCTCTGACTGCTTTATATAGGATGTGTTCTCTTTGGCACTTAACCACTGTAAGGCACTGAAAGTCTTGAACTGTTAAATATTTACTCATTAAAGTAGGAAGCTGTAACAAGAATCGAAATTAAACTGAAACCAGATACCCCAAGTATTCTAAGAGTTCAATGGGATAATAATTATTTTATGCCTTTTAATTTTATGCGTTATCACTTTCAAGTTTTAAAAAATCTTGCATAAAAGTTTTACACTGTCACAAATTCAAAATGACATTTTGTACAAAGTTACTCACTGTAACACCGTTTATAATAAAAGACTGAAAACAAAATACAGGGGAATAGTTACATAATACATCCATACAATGGAAACTATACAGCCATAAAAAAATACAAAAGATCAATTTTTGTATTTTTGTATAGTGAGTTAAAAAGCAAGGTGCTAAACAATGTGTATAGTATACTTCCATTTGTGTATAGTATACTACCCATCTGTGAAAAAAAAAACTACATACCTAAATATAAGTATTTGCTGATATATGCTTAAAATATCTCTGGAAGAACAGACAAGAAACTGATAACTCTGGGAAGACAGTATCCATTTTACACCTTTCAAATTTTGAGCTACATGAAGGTAAACTGCACAAAAATTTTTTTTTTTTAATGAAATAAATCTACTTGAAGAGCACAACACTTGGAGATAGACGGATGCCTTCCACAACGTAGATACAGAGTAGGAAAACAAGACTTTGTAGTTCAGTGATTAGAAAAAGTGAAACAACTGTTGGACTCAACCCCAAATCTCCTGACTTCAGGAACAGGTCTTCAACCAACACACCAAAGAGTCTCTCCTTCAAAGGGTATTTGGCACCAACCTATTTTTAAAAGTAAAGGAAATGGTCTCTAAGAACAGCAAGTCGCTTCCAAAATCTTCCTTTAGAGATGGCCCAGGTGTGAATGAGGGAAAATCCAGAATAAAAAGTCCCTACCTCAAATCACCCATTCTTCAAGGATATGTAAAAATCCTGAAGTGATTATGATATATAGATATATGTTAACGGTATAGATGTTATACAATCCTCTATGTGTTTCCTTCCACCCTCAACTACATGCCTGCCCTTTGCAAGCTGGACATATATCAATTAGGGTATCACAAAATTACCCCTCAAATCACAGAACTGCTTTCTGTAAAACTGATCTAGTCTTTAGCTGGGGAGAAAGTGAAATTTTGGCAGTCCGTCTCTCATGCAAAATTGATAAATATACATATTTATATAATATCCTTAGACACTTCACCTATGTTACATTTCTTGCTCCAAAAGAGCTTACTTTTTATTTGGAGCCATGTGAAAGGAAAAAACATATGCCTAGAAGCTGGCGGGCAGCTAGATGACTTCTGGGCACTTTTCCCAGCTCTCTTGTCCCACAGTCCTAAAACGTACCTTTTCTGTTTTGGCTCCAAATAGTCCTTAAAATCCACTGGAGAGTCTTGCAGAGGTTTCCAAAGACGGGCATTTTCCACTGGGGCTCTATCCCTTGATAATTCTTCTTTCCTCCTATCGCCAAGTTTCAAACTTAGATTTCAAATAATGGGGCAAAAAAATGGGTCAGGAGGATTTTGGTAAAAGATTTATTGTTTAACCTGTTAATGTTTTTTCTCTCACATTGGGAAATTGATTTTTTTAAAAAACCTGATAAAGACACTCAGTAAAGTACTTAAAAACAACCACTAAATAATGCTTTAAAAATAAAACCTTTTCTTTTTCAGGATAAACTCAAAGCTGGCAATGCCCTAGCATTTTTGGGTCTTGAGAGAAAACAATTTGAATGACTGAATTTACTACAAAGGCAATCTTTCAAGAAGATATTTTATTTTTGTTTTTAAACATGTATCCAACATGCATTACTAAAATCCTATTTTGAACTATTTTATCCAGAAATAGAATATTCCTGAGTATCTTAAATTATTCAAAACAAAAATTACTCACATGTGCTTTTACTCTGAAAAGCAGTATATTATTTCATGTACAAATCAAAAATGATTTTCTCAGCACTTTAAAAATTAATGGCAGGAATGAAAATCAAGATGTCACTAATGCTTTATATGGAGAAAGACCAAAACCAGATTCATCTTCCTAGAGGGCTCAAGTAGGTTCTCTACTTTGAGCAAGTATTTGTGAATAGGGCCCAAAGAACCTGTTTTTATTTACTTCAAACACCTTTCACTAGCCCAAAACTGGGCTGGAAATGCTTTAGATTCCATAAAATAAATGATGTACATATTCCATAACCTCTAGAAAAGTATAATCCAATTAAGGAGGCAAGACACCTGTTCATTCATAATTACTAAGCAATACAATATGAGTGTCACCAAAGTTTCAGTAAGAAAAATTCATCTGGACTCAAACTGTTAGGAAGATCTCCACAGAAGGTGGAACTTGGGCTGAGTTTAGAAGGCTAAACAAGGCTTGTTTAGAGTTGGAGATGGTAAATATATAGAAAGGCAAAACAATATTAACATAGGTTTCAGACTGAATGAGAACTTTTCTATTCTGGAGAAAAGTTCTAGTCTATAATTTACTTTTTATCGGAAGCTCTTTTAATTTAATATACGGAGTGGAATGTGTAAAGAAAGCTATGGAGATGCAGCAGGGCAATACCAAAGTAGCCTGTTCTACTCACTTCATTAATGGTCCCACCTGGGCTGCTGAAAGTGAACTTGGTCCTAGGAGTGGTGATGAACATTTGTGGTTCATGTACATCTGGCTGAATTCTAATATCAAATATAATTTTTCAAAATCACTCTCTTGCCTTAGATTCATTATTACTTCTTTTCCCTTCCATTAGCCCAAAAAATCAAGAGAATTGGTATACAATTTGTGCTTTTGCCAAATTATGCCCATCTCATTATTTTCACTTTAGTTCATTACTTTTTTCTTGCTCCTCCTGTTGCTTTCTAGAACTTTATCCACCCAATACTCTGCTTATTATTCAAATCTGCTTAAAAAGAAAAACAAAGTTGAACAAAACAGTGACATATTCATAGAGTGTTTATGTAAAGTGCCAGAGCTGAAGGACTTACTGTTCCAGGTACTGAGGATATAGGAGTAAATAAAAAGGATAAAATTTCTTCTCTCAGAAGCCTACAATCTGGAGGGTAAGAAAAATAAAGGAGGTAGGGAGGAAAAAGAAAGGAGGAATAGAGAGAAGAGAAAGAGTAAAGAAGGAAATTTTTCTTATATTAATAAACACTATGAAAAAAATTAGAAACAGAACTGTATAGAGTGGCTAGGGGAAGGGTAGGGAATAAAACCTTAAACAGTGGGGCCAGAGAAAACCTCTTTGAAAAGAATTTTGACCTAAGACTTAAGTGATAGGAAAGTCATAGTTAGAAAGCCTTTTTCTACATCTAGATTAAGGATGAATTTACTCATCTTTTCTTCTAGTGCCTGCATTGTTTAATTTTTTTATGGTTAAATCTTTGATTCAATCGATGATGGAGTTGTCCTTATGTATGATGTGGGAAATTACATGATTTTATTGCAGCATTATTTGTAATTGTAAAATATTGAAAATTATATGTATTGTCCAAATATAGGAGATTGATGGAACAAACTATAGTGCACACACATGCACCCACATGCACACACACACATGCAGATAACTAGGAGTCAACGTGGATTTATTTCTTTCCTTTCCTCCCTCTTTCTTAAATTCATTCAATCAAGTGCTGTCGGTTCTACCTACCACATCTCACATCCCCATCCTACCAATCGTACTCAAGTCACCATCATTTCTTGCCTAATCTTCCTACTACCATTCTTGACCCCCTTAGGTAATTCTCTACAGAACTGCTAATACGGTTTTTTTTAAAAAATAAATAAGTTGGGGCATATCACAAATCTATTTTAAAAACTCCAATGGCTTCTTATGAAACTGAATATAAAAATCTAAACTCTTGACCATAGCCTACTTATCCAGCTTCATCTCCTACCTCTTTCCTCTTGGCCACAAACTCTGCCGCAAGCTTTTTCCTGCCTAAGGTCAATAAGGAAACATTGGCCTTAAACAACACATTACACCAGATATATACCGAACATTCCATCCAAAAGCAATGTGTTTACAGAATACACATTCTTCTCAAGTGTACATGGAATATTCTCCAGGAAAGATCGTATGTTCAGCCACAAAACAAGTCTTAATAAATTTAATAAGATTTAAATCATGTCAAGAACCTTTTCCAAACACAATGGTACGAAACTAGAAATTAATTACAAGAAGAAAACCAGGAAATTCACAAATGTATGGTGATTAACAACATGCTATTGAACAACAATGGTTCAAAGAAGAAATCAAAAGAGAAATCTAAAACTACTTTGAGACAAATAAAATGGAAATACAATATACCAAAACTTGAGATGCAGCAAAAGCAGTTCTAAGAGGGAAATTCATAGTGATAAATGCCTACATTAACAAATATGAAACATGTCAAATAAACAACCTAACTTTACATCTCAGGAAACTAGAAAAAGACTAAAACCCAAAGTTAGTAGAAAGAAGGAAATAACAAAGATTAGAGTGGAAATAAGTGAAATAGAGACTAAAGACAATAGAAAAGATCAATGAAACTATAACTTTTCTGTGCACATAATCCTGAGGACATTTAACCTCTGAGATGTGGTTAATGGTATTCAACTCATCCATACTTTTGACATAGATGCTTTGATTCTCAGTTTTTTTACTTGAGCAACTGGGTAGATGTACTACCATTTACTATGATGAAAAAGACTATAGCATAAACAGGCTTAGAAGAAAATCAACAGTTCTGTTGTTGGACTTCTTGTATTCCAGATGCCTCTTGGACATTTAAGTAGCAATGTACAGTAAGCAGTTGGATATACCAGTCTGGAAAGTTCAAGAGAGAGGCTGGGGAGAGGCCATCAATATATATAAAGTATTTAAAGAAACGAGACGATAAAATTACCTGGAGAAAAAGTAGAGGAGAGACCCAAAAGAATTCAGGAATAATTCCTGGGATTTGGCAATACTCTGAGGTCAAATGGTTAGGAGCCAGCATTGGGCAGTGAGTAGTATCCAGTGAAAAAGGAGGAAAACCAGAATAATATGGCATTCTGAAGTCAAGAGAACACAATGTTTCAAGAAGTCCTAATGGCTTTAGGCATAAAAAAAAAAAATCAAAGCTATAATACTATGGTCCTTTACAGAATCATATGCCCCAAATGTAATTCAATCCCTTTATTCCAAAAGTTAGTTCCACTTCCTATACTATTCACTGATTAACAGCATCACCCACCCACCCACCTAAATCCTCCCCTTTACCCATATAAAACCTGTCATAAATCCAGTAGATTCTACCACTGTTATTCCTTTAATTTCTTATACAGTCCTTCTTCCTTATGGTTTCTAACAAAATTCAGATCCTCATCTCTCACCAGGACTACTAAAATAATCTCTTTTTTATACCCCTAACTCTGGGCTTAGTTGATACAACCCATCTTCCAGCCCGTTGCCAGGGGAAATTTTCCAAAGTATATATCTGATCATATTATTCTCTCTCTCTCAAAATTCCTCAGGACCTAAAATGGTGGTCTCTAGCTTTTGGGGTTTCATTGATCAGTATCTACTCCTTTAAAATTGTACTGATATCTCTAATAGAGCACAATTCTCATTTTGAATTGCAATTACTATCTTCGCACTAGACTGGGACTTCCTTGAGAACAGGAACTATGCCTTCATTCACTCATTCACATGCTTTCAACAATATGTTTTAAGCGCCTGTTATGTACCAAGAAGCATACTAGGGACTGGGATAACATAAAAGCAAACATGGTTCCTACCCTCAATGGCGCTTATAATCTAGTTAGGGAGACAGGTATCAAATAAGCAACTATATTTATATCAATATAAAATTGCTATAAAGATAAGAGCTATGAAGGAGCACACAGTGTATAGACAGCTTATAATAAGGGATTTGGCCTAGTCAGAGTTGGAGAAAAACTTTTCAAAAAAAAAGCGGTGCTTAAGCTAGGATTAGAAAAAGCAAATAAGAGCTAAAAGTAAAAGAGGCAAGGAGAGGGAAGAGTATTCAACACAAAGAGAATAGCATAAATGAAAGCCTTGCGGCAAGAGAGAACACAGAAAGAAATAAGACCACTGAAGCTAAAGGTAAGAAAGGAAGGCATTCTTGGTATAAATTGGTGAAATCGTGTGGGGTCATAGGTTAGTTGAGGAATTTTGTCTATCCAAAAGTAATGAAGTTTTTAAGTAGGGGATGACATACTAGAGTTGAATTTTGAAAACACCCTCTGACACTAAAATAGTACTGCTTACACCAAGAATCTCAAAAAATCCCCCCCCCCCCCGCCAAAAAAACCTTTTTTGCCTTTCCTCTCTTCCTCTCCTTTGTTACCTAGTACAAACACTTCTCCAAAATATACCCCTGGAAAAAAGTCCCAGCACCATCAGATTCCAAAGGACAACCACTTATAGCCATTCACAGCATTTCTCTTCCTGTTTCAGTACCCTTTTCCATCTCTCCTAAAAAGGAAGCCAGCTTTGACTCGATCCAGTTTATATTATCCAACCAGAAAACCTGAACCTGTATTCAAGGAAATTACTTAAGATTAACTTAATTAAAATAAACACCCACTTTATATTTAACTTAGAGACCATTCTGATGCTTTTTCTCAATCGAAACTGAACAAAAGTGAATTGAAATTTCCATTTCTGAAAATACTGCTTGCGACCTAATAAAAATTGTAAAGTTCATGAACACATAAGAGTTCAAAAATATCAAATTCAACCTATGTC